CAGCCATTTAAATTTAAATGAAGCCGCGATTATTTTAATCGCGGCTTCATTTCCCTTTTCCGATCTGGCTAATCTACATGCCTCCGTCGAAGGAGGCATGTAGTCTAGACACACCCCAAGTGCTTTCTTTACAAAGGAGGTAGATTTAGTTATCCCCATTTTCCAGATGGAGGAACTGAGACAGAGAGATGAAATGATTTGCTTAAGGGTTCTTGTCAGGTCAGTGGCAGAGTCTCAATCTAGTGTGCTATCCACTAAGTCACACTGCCTCCCAGTAATGGAATAGACCAGTGTTTCTCAACCTTTTTTTAATAAGGTATCCCTTTAAAAAAAAATTATAAGTACCCCCCAGTACCTACATTTTTTCTACCACTGCAACACATTTGTTTAAACAACTTAATTGTAGCTGGGCAAGCGATGACATTTTTGGGTGTAAAAAGTACAAAAATAATAAAGCGCTGTAAAACTTAAAATAAAAATTCAGTTTTCTCAGTTTTCAGTTGTGTTGTCGGGGTTCTCATACCACTGGCTGAGAAATACTGGAGTAGATGCTTTTGGAAATCCCAATGGGTGACCGTCTGCATATTTTGGTGCCTAAATAACTTTACGAATCTGACCTTTAATCATGTGCTTACCTTGAAGCATGCACTTGGTCCCATTTGACTCCTTTGGGATTATATGTATGCTTAAAGTTAAATATGAGCTTACCTACTTTGCTTTACGCAAAGGGATTCCAATGGGTATTTAAAAATAATAAACTAATACAGTGGTTGTTGCTTATCTCTTGTGTAGTTTTGCCTTTGCATGCACATAGTGCCACTGTGCTGGTTCCTAAATGGAGAATGGAGAATACCATAAGCATGGCAGTAATGTCAGTTATTCATGAAGCCATTCATTAGTGGTCATTGTGTAACGCCGACAGGCGGAATCGAACCTAGGATCTTTGGAGCTTAGTGCATGAGTTTCTACTGCATGAACTAAAAGCCAGTTGGCTCTCCACTAAGGCTGTAGAGCAGACTCATGATTCTCTCTGTAAGTGGTCTCGGTGTCACTAGATGGGACAGTGAGCCACACCCAGAAAAGTGTGTGGGTGACAATTGTAAGTAACTGAATTTTCTTCAGGTTTTAGTACTAATGAAAATGTTTGATGATTTCATTGCTTTGGGAACAAATTGTGTCTCTCCGTTGTTTGCAGGTGGTTTCTATATATCATCTTTGTTTTCTTGCTGGGAGCCATTTGTACCCGGGAATCGCTCCGCTATGACTTTATGATAGCAGAAAAGGTAATTCATTCTATTTAAAATAACCCAATCCATTGTAGAAAACAATGCTTTTCAGATCACAGGAGCATTATTTAAAGCTGGGATTTTCCAGAGCCTAGGGGAAAAGCAATGATATTTGGGTACCTTAGACTCCTTTGAAAATCTCAACCCAAGATTCTTGGGAAAATTGATTTGAATAGCTTGAATTCTCCAACGTGCCTGGTGATGCGGAATCTTGGAATCATTCCGCAGCAATAATGTTAATAGCTAAAATATGCTAATGTTGCCTAATGATAAGCGCTATACATTATTCAGTATATGCCATTAAATCAGTAGAAGCTTAGATCTAATTGAAATCTCTAAAGAAGCACACTGCTTATCTTTACTAAGTCAAGCCAGGCTTACATTTTCATATCCACTCTAGTGTAATTGCAATGTAAGTAATGGGATTATTAAATGCTAGGCATTCCACATTGGCATATGCCTATGTAGCAGGTTGGTACTGTCATAGTCAATGAACCTTATCGCTAAGGCCCTTTGAAAAGAGAGGAAAAGATTTCAGTGTGTTTCATTGCTAGCTTACATTAAGTGGAAGTAAAATACTACATGGCTAATTTTCAGTTATCCCACATCATCCAAAATGATATGCTTGCTGTAATTTGACAGTTTCTTGGATTAAAGTAGTTGGATGTGCTTTACCTTTATTTAATTGTTAATTCTTTTAATAGAGTTCAGCCTACAATTTCTATTTGAAATGCATGCTTTCATTTTCCTTCTAAGTGAGAGCAGCCCTAGATTTTGTTCTGTTCCCAAGATAAGACAAAATACATTAGATTTATACTGAAATATGAATGTATGTGGATTCATATAATTTATAACCCAGAAATTGTCACTGTTTCTGGGAGAAAAGTAGAATAATTCTATACTAGCCATTTGAATTCAGTCTTTGTTATATGAATGTTGATAGTCCTTTGTATGTATGTATGTATGTATGTATGTTTGTATTACCATAGTGTCCATGAGCCCCAATATTGGATCTCTGTGCTAGAGGTTGTGCAAACAGAATAAAAAAGATAGTCCTCCCTCATTCCCATCCCCAAAAGCTAACAGTCTTAGTATAAGACAAGAAGAACAGGTAGATATAGATACACCAATGGAGGAGTGCAAAGAAACAGTGAAACAAACTTGTACTCTAGTAATAAACGTTTTTTAGTTGGTAAAAGTATTGTCTATCCCTGCTACTTTTAATGAACAACTAGAAGAGACAAGATTTGTAAAATGAGGTTACTTTCAGTACTTTGTAACAAACAAGCAGAACAGCTTGATTTTCTTCTGTGACAGGGTAATTGGTCTGGTGGATGTACTGGGGGAATGCAGTGGACATAGTATACCTGGACTTTAGTAAGGCTTTTGACACAGTCCCACATGACATTCTGATAAGTAAGCTGGAGAAATGCAGGCTCCGTGGAACTACCATTAAGTGGATGCATAGATGGTTAAACCACCCAAAAGAGTAGCTATCAATAGAATGAGGTCAGATTGGAG